GGACGCCATTTCCCCCGCGCGACATCCGCAAAAATCCTCGCAGCATGTACGCGCGTGTGTCGCAGGCGATGGCGCAATTTGTTCTAAAAATAGAATTGTCCCATATCATGGGGACAACCCCAATACTTGAAATGGCGCGCGCTTACGGTCTCCGTCCCCGATTATGGCTCCTGGTTGTGATTTAATTATATATAACTTTCTTCCTTACTAAAATATGTGACATCTTCAAACCTGAATTTCTACTTTAAACTGCTACGTTATGTAAATTAGCTACATATTAAAAGCTCTCTTCAAGTTTTCTACCAATATTTCTTACAGGAAGATCCTACCCAGAACTGCGGGCCACATCTATACACTTTTTTTAATTATCCAGTCAAGAAGCCAAGGCCTTCTACACATCCATAAAAGAAACTGGGAATTGAAAACACGAGAGAACTTTTGAAAACAGAAGTCACTGACAAGTGTCTTATATACATTTTTATTCCTCAAGTGCTCTTATATTTCCAAATTGTTTTACGACAGTATAATACATAATATCAGGTTAAGCTTCTTCATATGCTTTATGATATACAGTGTATTGTACTGTCAAAGTATGCAAACCAATTAAACAGTGGAGCACTTTTTCCATGTTCACGTGTACATAGCCTCATCTAAACACAAGGAGGGTTTAGAGAATTTGAGACAATTATGCAAACCAGAGATGCGGTTGAGGGCTCCCAATCCCCTAAGTGTTTAGATGAGGTTATGTAAACATGGAAAAAGTAGTCTATTGCTTTTATAAAATATTTCTCAAAAATATGTGCGAATCTAAAACATCACAAAATTGTGTTCACATAATCTCATCTAAACAAACCTATCGACCAATGAGAGTGTGTGAAGTATCGCCTGTATTTTTGCATAAAACATATCTAGCTCTTGTATGTTTTATACTCCAATAAAACATGGTCCTTATACCAAACCAAAGTATGCAATCAGACTATATTATTAAAGGGAAATGTGCTGCCAACATTATAAGAAATTCTCCCTACTGATCTGTCAGCTTACAATTTCTTGTTGTTCTATGATTGGATGGAATGATTTGGTTTGACCCAACTACACTAGCGCAGTCAATCTAGCACAACTTTGTTGTCATACCAAAGTGAACACTTTTTAGAAAACGTTGTCGATAACTGCACCAAAGGCATATCTATGTAGTGAATCTTACATTTCTAATGCTACCTACAGGTAACTACCTGTACTTTGGAAGGACTTATAACATCTAAAAACAGACTGAATTGTTCTGTAATTTTGATTCTGTCTGGTACTTCACTTGATCTAGCAGGTAAATCAGTTTTTAATCCCAGCTCATCACTTGTGGATCATATAAATTTATTTTGACCCTGCAGATCTAACGGTACATGATGTCTAGTTTCCCACCTCAAACAGCATCTTTATAGCCTGGAACAAGAAATAAACACAGACTGAGTCACTCCAAAAACTGCAAACCACCTACACATGTAACACTTTCATGCTCTTAATTCAAATGATCTGTTCTGAATTTTCTCACCACCTGCCTGCACAAGAAGAATTCAGACATTGATCACTTACTTTCTGCATGGCAGCTAGCCAGGTGAGTGATTGTTTTCTGTGTTCTTCAGGTGAAGGTACCACAGTGAGTTTAACCTCCAGCATCTCATCGTGTTCTTTGTACTTTAAGATGAGGCCGCTAACAGAGGAGTTCTCTAAACAGAACAAATATTACCGCTAAGCTAATTATTTTTTACTGTAATTAGCCAATAAGAGGCCATGTCTACTGTCCTGATATCCTGTGATATCAAGTCACTGACCTGATATGGCCATGATATCATGGTCACTTGTATGGTAAATTGTACCTTTTTCGATACGTTTCAGTGACATAGCAGGCTCATTTAGTCTCACCATGGGTATTTTGGTGAGACTACATCTCACCAAAATAAGAAACATGACTCAACTAAGCTCACCTAATGTGCCGCTCAGGAGTGTTCCAAAAGGTACAATAAGGCATAACAATTCAAATTCATTTTTTTACAGCATTGAATAGCACCATCATTTCAAGGCTGTGGTCTAAGAAAAATAACAAGGAGCCCAAAGTTTCCCAACCATAAAATCCTATGTGCCCAGCACTTAAGCTTATATGAAAAAAGCAAGGTTTTTCCAGTCACACAAAGGTAAAAGTTAGTCGCCTCTGGCACCCACATACTTTTAGAGCACAGCCCTGACTAATGCTACATGTACATAGAAATTCATCCCTCCAAATCTAACAAGAAAAGTGACGCTGAAATCCTACCTCGAACTGACAACATACTACTCAAACAGGAAATGGGCTGCCTGAAGCTAAACGTTTCCAGCTTTATACAGAACAAGGTACATTTTGTAGTGTACATGACATAAGTGTATACATTAAATGAAACAATTTAGCCATAGAGTCTTTGTGTACCTTCATTTGCCACAAGCTGCGCTGATACAATTTTCATTAACATCACTGGCTCATGGACTGCTGATTTATCATGGTCAGAACACTCAAACAGAAGTTCTCTAATCGAAATAGAAAACAAAGTCAACTTATTTAGAAGATATAATACTAATGCCCATTTTTGAATTTTTTTCTCTTAATGTTACCCATGACCAATACAGATTTACTAGAACACAATACCCATAAGGCGTTATACATAATTATTATGTATAACATAAATTTGTTAATTATATGAACTTCATCTGATGAGTACAAACTAGATTAGGTTCCACAATATATAAGCTACCTGCCAACTCTCATTGCCTGTGGAATTTGAGTGTCATGCCTACAGGTCAAAAACGTCAATCTCACACCTAAGTTGTAGACTAATCTCCCATGCTAGCTAATCCGAGTTGCAATACTGATACTGATACTGATAACTATATATACAGATGTAGTAATTAATAATTTGTTTGAAATGTCCCATTATGAAGGCTCATTTTGTTTCATTCCCTTACCTCTGAGAATGATGTTCAAGTTTGCAAAGGAATCTCAAAGGCTCTGACTCATCCACAATAAAATAAGCACCTGTTTAAAACATGACAAAGTCAACAAGGCAATTCATTTTCTTTTTCTTAATTTTATTTTCATGAGCATCTATCAGCCAAGCCAATGAATAAGAATGTAGATGATTTATAATAAGGAAAATTTAGGACAATATTCTTACATGTGATGTACATTGTATACACTGGACTACGATTTTTCAGACCCAAAGTCCCCCCCAAAATGTAACATTTCTTCTTCTGGTAAATGCTAATTTAGAGGGAAATAAACTCAAAACAAGGCAAGGTAGTTCTTTATCTCATTAGCAAATCACTGTTAGTAATCACTGAAGTACTATGCATGTTTTTGGTGGTTACCGTTCAAAGAAACAAAAGGCTTCTTTTGTTTTGGCTTTAAGAAAAGCATTGCAAAGAAAGCCACTAATATGAAATTTGAAGTTTGCGTACATGTACCTTATTTCTCAGAAACAAAATGCCCACCAGAAAAAAAAATAATTGGGGCAATGTTTTTCATGCATACTAAATGAAAGTCCATATGCCAAAATTCAGCTCACTTTGTGCACTTTTAAAAATGACCCAAAAACCTAGGGGGACGCTGTTGCCTGCAGCCTTTCAATATTATTATGAGAGCCCCTGAAAAAAGTTAACCCACCCAAAGACCACCCATAAGCCTGGTGCTGATTGTTATTTGAGTCCTGTCATACAATGAGTCATAATTACTAACCAGTCATCAATGTCTTCAGATGTCTCTCAAAAAACTCTTCTTCACGTTTGGCTGTGTGAGAACATTCTTCGCACACTCTGACAGGGTCGACAAAACTGAGCCTCGGTAACATAACTTTATGATCACAGCATGTGCCGCAAAATATCTTGCCACATCGTCGGCAGTGGTGCTGCAATACAATTTAAGATTTGAGAAAACAAACTTGAGAAATTCCACCAGCTCACTAAATACAAAACATTTTCTTGTGCCATCAAATGTTCACATTTTTCACTCTTTAACATTAATACAAAAATATCATATCACAAAATATTACACAGTACAATATAAGCAGCGTGGCCCAGTGGTTTAGAGCGCTGGAGTTGTAATGCAGATGTCCCAGGTTCAAGGCCTTCACCCTGCCACTAACAGGATTTGTTTCTCGGTAGTCCAGAGTTCAACTCCTCAGTCACACTTTGTAAATAGCCAACTGGTCTGCCTCCTGTCAGCCGGGACTCTCAGGGTTATTGGAAATCCCAAGCCGGGGGGGGAGGGTCTAAATTACACCAATATTTTTAATTAGGAAAGTATGAACCAAAACTGGAAGTACCATAGGGTTGGGGGGAGTTCAAAAAAAAATATCTAATGAAGATTTTCTAGAACAACACAAGTGATATAGGATTACTTAGTACCTTTTGCAGTTTGGCCTGTATCAACAACTGATATATGTAGTTTCTACTACCACACAATATCAAGCATTCAAGAAATATCAACAAAGTGTGGACAACCTGATATAAGCTCACTAAAGCTAATTATAAGCTTATTTTTGACTTTTCATGAAGCACATTCGATTGCAAAATTTAACTGATTAACATCAAACGTTTTACCCTTCGATGAGTGAAGTCGAATTTCCGATTGCACTTTACACAGTTTGGAAACTACAAAAGAAGATACAAAAACAATTGTTTGCCACATGATGTTGAATGCAGCCAGTGATTCCAGTGCATGCCTGCTTGCGTACATCAATGTTGATCATAACACTGTAAGTTAGAAAGAAAAGACCACAAAACTGCGACGGACAAATGAGGAAAAACTTATACCTGTTTATCATCAGTCCAGTGAGGCTCCTCCAAAAGAAAAGGACAACGTTCATCTTCAGAAACAGCGATCATTCGCAGGCCACTTTTACCTTTAACGAGCTGCTTTCCAGACGACATCTTCGCCAAATCGGAAATGAAACCAAAATAATCACGGGCTCAAAGGATGTCAGCAGTAACACTTGTGGCCCACAGTCAACCCACATGTCCCACAGCATAACCAGAGGTACGCAGGACTCCTACAAAAGCCGTGTTGGCTAAAAGTGATAGGTAAAAACTGCTAAGGCGGAAAAATTCGTCTTGAGACTTCCATGTGGTTCTTCAGGATGATACAAAAAGATTAACACCCCCACTACCTTTCGAGAGAAGCATGATTTTTTAGCCCTTTTTTATCAGGAAATGAGAAAATAAGAATATTCTTGCTTTTCACTTCATCAGCAAACAATTCTTCTTGTTGCTATAGTTATATTATTATTTTTGTTTCCATTGTCGTTTATTCTGCGACCTTTTTTTTTTTTTTTTTTTTTNTTCTCATAGACCAAACTTGATTTACCAGCACCTACCTTGAAATAAGCACCTTTTCCACTACTGTAAGTACCACCAGGCCTCCACCAAAAACAAGTTTTTTTTTTTTTTTTTTTGCATAAGTCGACGGATCGAGCGCACCCGCGGGGGTCCCGCCGAACGCGGGTGGTGTAAAAGAGGACTAAGACCAAATCAATTTTTCATTGCTCTGTTGTTGTGTTGCAAGGCGGTGTGTATTTGTTAAGTAAGAATTGAGTTGTACGCACATTTTGTGCCTTAGCTTTGACGCTACAAGTCAGTGGCATTTCACCAGACTACAAACGAGTTAATGTTGTTCATCTGGACCGTGTGAAGTGAATCTACGACAGACGAGAGAATACCGAAGATGCAAAGCTTTATGATTTTTCATGTCGTATTTTTACACGCCTCTTTGATTTTCCATGCTACTGATAGTTTGCCGGCAATAATGCATGACGAGCAAGCTCAGGGTGAGTATTACACTGTTCTACAACGTTTCGTCCTAAACTTAATTCCTTCTTTTCTTATTTGTACATCTAAGCTCATATTTCCCTTTTGATTCCTTCAATAAGTTCTTCCTTATTGATTATGCATGCAGTGCGCATAATTCTAAGAGTACTTGTACTTGTCGCCGTATTTCGGCAATCTTTCCGCTGTTCTGTATCTTTGCCATGTAGTCATTTGAATTACTGGCAAATACAAAACGAGAAAAGGGGTGTCTTCTAATTTGAATTTTCGAAATGGGGAAGGGATTTTATAGTGCTGACCACGGCTTGTGTTTGCAACACGCGAGCATGCTGCGCGTGTCATTCCTCTTGGGTCCTCACAATGCAAAGTAGCTTACACTTATTAGCGTACATGTAGGACAATAAGAAGACAGTAATTAGAAAGTTGTAGGTAAAGAGTTTGACAAAACAATGATGATTATGCACCATTGCAACAAAGCCAGAATCTTAGTTACCATGGTTAAATTTTGCAAAACCCAGCTACATAGTTGCATCTTCGTGAATGTCACTGGTTCCTATTATTTCAAATTGCCTCTTCCTTTAAAATTGGTTCTTGGACAACTTTTGGTAATAAAGTCTGCTTGATAAGAGTAAATTACAGATGCCAGCCCAACAGAATTGAAAACCTGGAGATTGCGCTGTTTGCCTTCTCCCCTCCATGGTAATAATGGATGGTTGAACTTTATCCGTTGACCATTTGTCCAATGTTGTCCATTTTGTAGTAACTGGAAATCCAACCTGCATTACATGGCAAAAATTCCCACTGATCAAATTATGGCAGAAGATTTAATTCTGTTCACACTTATAGGTGTTTTTTTCACAATGATAGGTATTGATTTAGCCCAAAGAAAATATGCACACTGACTGGGTAAAAATTGTGTTTAGACTATAACTCAATACGAAAACAGAACTAACACGAGCTGTTGATGTAATGATGGCATGAGCAAAGAGAATTATTTTACTTTTTGATGATCAAAGTAAACAAGTTAATGATTCTTTTTTCAATGCTATATTTTCTAAAAGAAGTACTATAGATGTTCTGAACTTTCTGTTGAGTGATAAAAGCACTCATGAAAATTTGAGAGAACTCACAAAAGTTGTGGAAACACTTGCCTGTCCGCTCATGTTCCCACAACATTTCCTGTTCTCACATCTTCCACTCATGTATCTATTTGTCAATAGAAACATGGAACATGTTTTCTCTTTCTTGAGTAATAACTTATTATTTCTTATTCTTTATTTTCTATTTAGCACTGTGGACCTGGATTGGAGGAAATGATCACAAAAACCAACACACCACACAAGATGGCTTGCGAGTCTACCCAGGTTCCCGGAATGGAGCAGCAAGCTGGTGTGATTCAAATGCAACAGTCTGGATGTTTGGTGGGAAAGGATTTGGTGCAAAAAAATTATCAGCAGCACAGCTGCCCACGTTGGATGAGCTCTGGTCATTTGATATTACAAAAAGGCTCTGGAAATTTTATCCTAATGACAACAAAACTAACAACAATCAGAAACCACCTGCATGCTTTGGTTGTGTTGCGTGCAGCTACAAAAACAAGGCTGTAGTGTTTGGACCCTCAAGCACATTCATTTTTGATATGGAAAGAAAGATCTGGAGTGCTCTACACAACAACACAGCCTCCCCAAAGCCGAGAAGTCAACCTGCCCACTGGTGTGATATGAAGAAAGGGGTGATGTGGATGTTTGGTGGTACAACATCAGACAAGAAGCTTGATGACTTCTGGAAGTTTTCATTTGACAAACTACAGTGGATAGAAATCAAACCAAAGAATAACAAAAGTGTGAGTCCCGGTAAATGTTCCAAAGCGACAACATGGGTGCATCCTTCCGGTGTTTTGTACATGTTCGGGGGATCATCCTCTAAACTAGCTACTTCCTACTTCTGGAGTTATTCACCAGGAACTCTTCAGTGGACAAAGCTAGGTGGAACTACAGGTGTTACAAAGTGTGCTGGAAAGTATGGTGAGATGGGAATTGCTTCCAAGAAAAACTATCCAGGTTGCAGGGAAGGTGCTGCTTCCTGGGTAGATCAGCATGGCAATCTCTGGATGTTTGGTGGCTCAGGGTTTGACAACTTTTCCACCAGTGCCTTTGCAATACCAGGTCTCCTGTCTGACTTCTGGATGTACAATGGTTCAAGCCACCAGTGGGCATGGATAGGAGGTTTAAGTAGGGGAGAAGGTCAACCATTCTTTAGCGAGAAAGGTAAGGCTGATCCACGAAATATTCCTGGGCCAAGAGAGAGTGCTGTGTCTTTCTTCTATGAAAACCAACTGTGGCTGTTTGGAGGGGCTGGGCATGATGTAAGAGGATTTGATGGCATTTTAAATGACTTGTGGATGTATGGTGTAGTGAAAAATAATATGTCGGCTGCACCGTCACTGCAGGGTCCCACAGAGATTCCAGGAGACACAATCAGCATTTCCTTTGGTTTCAGAGTCCTGATTGCCATAGTTGTCCTGGTGTTGGGTTTGGTGGTATCACTATCAGCATGCTACAGTAAAGAATGCAGGATTTGTAGATTTAAACGTCACCTTCGTCCAGTGGTGAAATACAAACCCGTGAAAGTTGAGATGATGCAGGTGCCGCAGCCAGAGGTCAGCTCTCCCTTGAATGAGCAGCCAAGTAGAAACCTGTAATGGCACACCGTCATGGACATTGTGAGACTGGTCAACAGTTACATCTTAGACTTGCTCAACACAAAACACTTTGCATTGACAGTATTCAAGAACAGACCTGATGTACAGGTACATGAAGACTCAATTTTCAGCTGTTCCAGCAAATGGCTGGCTTGATTTTTGGTTGCAATTCTAGCAGGCTGATGACTTTGTTTAATAACTTATTAGTCATATTTGGTAAGATGTTGTACATTATTAAGAAGGTGTGTGCAAGTAACCAAATGTAGTGTGCAATGTTCACAAATAAGATCATTACCCATAGTTTATTTCTTTGGATGGTACAATGCCCTCATCATAAGTGAACTAGATGCTAGATTGAGATTCCTGGGTTTGTGCCTTGTTTTAATTGTGTGGGTAAGATAGCTTGACTCAAACAGTACTGTTAATTGTGCTAAGGAGTATAAAATGGATTAGCAAAGGTCAGCCAGGGGAAATGCTGCAAGGTAACCTGAAATAGGATTCCATCAGTGCTTAGCAATGTTCTCTTAGTCACTTCATGCTATCTTACAGACAACTTGTAGGTTCTAGCTTCAAAAGCAGCCAAACCATGAATTAGATGATATGATGTGATTTCTCAGTATTTCAATGACCAGGTTCAGTTGTCCACATGTCTTATGAAAACAAATAAAAGTACTTTTTAATTAAAAGGTTACCAAATTTTGTCAAGAGTTTTGGGGGAAAGCTCCTGAAAACCTTGTTTAGAGAACAACCTATTTAGAACCTACTGAGTGTATGCACTTAAAAATAATTATTATAACAAAAGCTGTTTGAGTGTCAATGAGTTTTCAAGAGATTGTGCAGTGTACATAGAATACTAAGATAAACTCATGCATATAGTAAATTAAATGAAAACAGTGTCAACAGTGCATGGGGCTAACAAATGAATAAAACTCTGACATTTTTATTTACAACAGTAGTACAGTGCTTGTCGCAGATTTTGTTCCCTTTTTCACCTTTTTCTGTCAACATATTTTATGCTGCCCACCACAATGAATGTCTGGAGCAAGCTATTAGATACATGTATACTGACACATATGGCTTAAGATTTCGTTTTATCTGACAACAGAGTCAGAAAAAATCTGTGTAAATATTTACATCATACTTACATTTAAGAGTTTCCAGTAGGGTAGAATTCACAGACAGTATTTATTATGATCTCAAAAAGTGTTTGTATTTAGAAAGGGACATATCCTTTGGAAGGAATCGGAGTACACACTTTTTTTCATGTTTTTTTGTAGGGTAGAGCTTATTACATCTGATTCATAGACAGTACCTATATCTTAAAAAGTGTTTGTACTCTATTTAACGGAAATGTACATTCTTTGGAAGGAGTCAGACTACACATTCATTAATTTTGTCATAAAATTATAATCACTTGCAATAGGTTTAACTTGTACAAAAATATTGCTTTGTGTATGCTACATGTACTTAATTTATACATGAACATGTACATTGTAGTCAAACCTTCAGTGATGGATACTTCCATTGATGGACACTTTATGTGTGGACACTCAATTCCCAAAAATGGACTCTTCGTGGTGGTCTCTGCCACCATTTAACCTCCCATGAGTGGACATGGTTTCAATGGTATCTCCTTACTGCAGGCTTGACTGCACTTGAGTTACTTGACTTGCAACTTCCTGAGTTGAAGTTGAAAAAGGTTGCTTTTTTACAAACTTGGTGTAGAGTTGCAGCACACTGCTTTTGCTGCTGTCACTGACTCTCATATTTTTTTAACTTAAGTTTAACTAAAATAAATACTAAAAGCAAGAATGTATATGTATTGAAAATAGTATAGAGAATAAAACACTAGGCAGAGTTGAATTGTGTTTTTGCAATCCTGTATGTCTAGTGACTACCTTGACTAGTGAGTCAATATCCTTATGATCCACTCATTCTGTTCCATGTCAAACAGGGAGGGTCAGTCAAAAGTCACTCTATAATTATACATGTAAGCTTTTTAAAGTTGTGCCACCCCCCAAAAGGTTAAGGTTTTTTTTCCTTATAAAACCATATTAACCACAATGTATTTTGGTACTTAGTTATGTCGCCAGCCCAAAATCCCAAGCAAGTGTGCGCACGGTTATTTGTAATTATTTTGCAAACTGTCTAAACTAATTCTTAACATTTGCAATGGGTAATTTAGTATCCAACTTTCCAAGCAACTTGGACAGTTCCATGTGCAATCATAAATTATCTCCCAATTAGTTGGGGGATGGTTTATTGAATTAAAAATGTGGACTTCCTATATGGCGTCAACCAATTTTGGCCGTCCTCTGATTTTTTTTCTTTTTTTTTTTTTTTCACCCAGTCATTTCCAAATTGGACAGCATGGTAAAGTCTGCATGCAAGCCAAGTGGCCACCAGGCCAGAGCTTATCCTGGTTTCCTTAGCATGAAGCGACTAGGAGTATTTCTACTCCCCACTGGATGGGATGCTAGTCCATCGCAGGGTTACCGGTAGCCCCCCCAGCATTAAATTTGCC